CCCCCCATGCCCCTAGGTTTGGAGAACATCCCTGGCACGGTGCCTTGCACTGAGCACCATCTGGGCCACGTAATGCAGCCACGGGGGAGTTCCTACGGGCCATGCCGTGTCCTGGAGAAGCCGAGGGCTCAGGGCCAGTGACTGTGTCATCTTCCTTTAAGTAGGGGGCCACCCAGGAGCCCCGTCACCGGCGCCAGCTGGGCCGCGGGGAGTGGACGCCGTGGGGGGCCTGGAGCGCCTGCTCCAGCACCTGCGGGGACGGGGTCGCGCTGCGCACCAGGCGGTGCCTCCGGTGAGTGGGGCGCAGGGGGCAGCACCCGGGTCCCTTCAGATCTCGGACGCGTGCCCTGCCCCTGGCCCAGGAGCCTGCGCTAGAGATCGGGGAGCTGGCGTGAGAACGGCCCTGGGAGGGGCACGGGCATGGGAGGTTTCTCTGGCACGGGGGAGACGCTGGAGTCCTTGCGTGACCCCGTTCCCTACTAGTCTTTGCCCTGGTCGGGAGGGTGGAGCCGACGGAAATGTGGCAAACAAGGCCTGGGCTGGTGTGTGGGCGTGTGCACGGGTGTGTGCGCCTGTGCTGGGGGGGTAATGTGCCTGCATGTGAGTGTGCATGCACATGGGGGGTTGCATGTGAGTGTGCATGCATAGGGGGACTGTGTGAGCATGCATGTGAGGGTTGTGTGCGTGTGTGTGTACACAGGAATGCGGGGGGGTTGCATGTGAGCACATGCATGTAGGGGGAGTGTGTGCGAGTGTGCGTGCATGGGGGAGCCTTGCGTGTGCATGCATCCCTGGGAGGGCCTTCCCTCCCCCCGCAGTCACCCGGGTGCTGCTGCTCCCACCTGCTGGGCACACAGGTGCCCCCCCCCCGCTGCGTGGGCAGCACCTTGTCCCTGGGCCCTGGCCCCCTCCTCCTCTTCATCTGGCGCTGAGCATTTTTGCAGGGAGTTGTCACGGCCCCACGCCCCCCCACGCCCCGGCCAGGAATCCGCGTCCCAACCAGCCCCCCCCCGGCTTCCCCTCCCTTGCCGGGGGCATGGGGGCGAGCGCCCCTGCACCGCCCCTGCCTGGCAGCCAGCTCGGCTCGGGACCCAGCCCGCTGCCGCGTCTCCCCGCAGGTTCCCAGGAGAGGAGCTGTGCGAGGGGGAGCCCCGGCGGTACCGCGTGTGCCAGCTGCACGTGAGTACGGCCGCAGGGCAGCAATGGCATGTGTGTGCATGTGCAAGGAGTGCATTGCATCCCTCCCCTGCTGATCAGGCCCGGCCTGGAGCAGGTGGTGAGGGTGCCCTGTGGGGCCTGGGGCAACCCACTTTCTATCCCTGGCTCTGCCACCGACCCTAGGTGAGTCCTTTTGCTGCTCTGTGCCTCAGTTTCCCCACTTGTAGACCCAGGTGACCAGATCCCGACTCCCAGGCCCTGCTCCTTTGCATGTTCTCTGTTGTCTGGGCATAGGTCTACCCCTGCCAGGTCCTTCCAGAGACCCTCTGTTGCTCTGACTTCTTGATGCCCAAGGAGAAGGGCCCTATCCCTGGCTCCAGCCCCGTTGTGCCCCGTGCTGCTGCAGCCCCTGCCGTCCCTTGCAGGCATGCCCCAGTGGCTCGGTGCCCTTCCGGGCCATGCAATGTGCCCTGTACAACTCCAAGCCCATCCTGGGGAAGCCGGCGCGGTACCAGTGGGTCCCCTTCTACGGAGGTGAGTCCTGGGGCCGGCCCCAGCCCCCTGCCAGGGGTGCAGCTGGCTCTGCTTGTGCCGGGGGGCTGCCGCTGGCCCCCTGCCCTCTCCTCCAGGCTCGGGGCTCGGTGCACGATACCAGCCCTTGCATTTGACTCCTCGGAGATGGCTCCTGGGGGCTGTTCCCTGAAGGAGCGGGGGGATCGCGGTGGGGTGGTGACGCAGGGCAGGGCCTGCTCTCTCCCGCAGCTCCGAACCTCTGCGACCTGAACTGCCTGGCCGCGGGGCACAACTTCTACTACACCTTCGGCAGGGTGCTGGACGGCACCCGCTGCAGCCCGGACTCCCCGGAGCTCTGCATCAGCGGTCAGTGCCTGGTAGGTCTGGATCGGACTTTGCCCGCTGGGCCCCGGGGCAGCCTGTGTGGGGGGATGGCTCCACGCGTGGTCCCAGGGGGTTAGGGATGCTGGTGGGTAGCTGGGCAGGTGCTCTTGTGGGCTGCACCCCCAGAGGGGCTGAAGCAGGGGTGTCCCCTGGCTGCCCCCTGATGCCCGTGTCCGTGCCACCCCGCAGAGAGCGGGCTGTGACGGGATCCTGGGCTCTGGCGCCCAGCGCGACGCCTGCGGGCAGTGCGGCGGCAGGAACGAGTCGTGCGTCCTGGTGCAGCGGGTGTTTCGGGCCGCGTTCCCCTCCTCCGGTGATTGATTGCCCAGCGGTGAATGCTTTGGCTCTTGGCTTCAATTCCTCCCCACTCCCCTGCCCCTGCAGCTGGCGCCAGGCGCTTCCACCCCATCCCCAGGCATCGGATCCCCATTCTGCCACCAAGCAGGACGAGCCCAGGTGGGGAGGCCTCGTCACTGAGGGTATCACTGCTTTCTGGGGAAAGCCAGGCGTAGGCAGCATCGGGGCACGGGCATCACGGTGCATCAAGCCCCTGGGGTCTTTGCTGAGGCTGCCCATGAGGGGGTCGGGCAGCCAGTCGGCTCTCGGGCCCCCTTCGGGGTCCACCCCCACTCTCCCTGCTTACATGTGCGCACCCACCCCCCCATGCCCCCAGACCCCACGGCTACCTCTGCTTCCCTGCCCCACACCCAGCCCAGGTTGCAGTTTTCGGGCATGTAGCACTGACCCCTCCTGCCCCTTCCCGCGCCCCGTAGGATACTTCGGATACAAGAACGTGACACGCATCCCGGCAGGGGCGACGCACATCAAAGTGACCGATGGGAGCCGCAATTACCTGGGTAGGAGGGACCGTGCTTGGGGTGCGGGTTCCTTGACCCCCCAGTGCATCCTCCTGGGTCCCAGCCCTGCTGCTGTAACCCCGAGACTACCCTGCCCAGAGCTGGGCACAGACCCAGGAGTCCAGGCTCCCAGGCTCCAGCCACGACCCGGGATGCTACTGTGGGGTGCTTGGTGCTCCCGGCGTCACCGGGCTTCTCCCTGCAGCACTGATGACGGCGGAGCAGCACTACGTGATCAATGGGGACTGGGCGGTGGACCCGCCGGGCGTGTACGAGGTGGCCGGCACGCAAGTCCACTACGCCCGCGCTGCCGACGAGCGGGAGAGCCTGGAGGCAGCCGGGCCCACGCGGGAGGACTTGTATGTCACGGTGAGCGCGGCACCGCAGACCCTGCGGAGCAGCCCCTGCTCCCCCAGACGGGCTGTGCTGCAGCCTCCCGTGGCTGGGCAGGGAGGGTTGTAACCCAAAATCTCCCTGGGTCTGGTTCCTCTTCCCGGCAGGGGTCTGAGGCTGTTCTCCCCCTCCTCCCCCGACCAGGTCCTGTTCCAGGAGCCGAATCCGGGCATCGAGTACGAGTTCTGGCTGCCGCGGGGGCACGACGGGCACTTCCAGGCTGACGTCAGCCCCTTGCGGCAGGCGGCGCCCCCGGGGGGCGCCCCCAGCCCCGGGAAGCCCCCATGGCCCCCCCCCGCCAGCCCCGACCTGTGCCACGGACCACGCCGGTGCCCACCCCGCCTAGCACCAGGGCCACAGCCATGCGCAGACCCCCCGGCCGGACGAAGGAGGTGGCTCAGACAGGTACCCCGTGTCCCAGCTGGGGAGCGCAGGGCAGTGGGGGGGAAGCTGCCCATCCCAGTGCGGCAGCCTGCAGACCCTGCAATGCTCACCCTGGCTCTGTGCCCTGCAGGCAGGTGCGGCCGGTGCCCGATGCCCAAGGGACGCTCGAAGCGCATCCATCATTACTGCCACAGCGACTTCGGTAAGAGTCCCCCCCTGCCCCCAGGGGCTGGCGAGATGCTCACATGCAGGATGCTTGCAGGCCAAGGGGACACTGGCGGGGGGGGGCACGAGAGCTGGGCACTGACCTGGGCACCTGGCGCCCGTCCCCGTCTCCTGCAGTCTTCCAGGCCCGGATCCTGTCGCAGCGGCTGGTGGGGCAGGAGACGCGCTACGAGGTGCAGGTGCAGCACGTGTACCGCAGCGGGTCCCCGCTGCTGCGCCACGAGTACGTGTGGGCGCCCGACACCTGCGGCTGCCCCCCGCTGCGCCCACGCCACGACTACGTGCTCATGGCCCAGCGCCATGTGAACTACGAGCACACACTCAACCGCCTCCTGCTGCCGCCCGGCGCCTACGCCCGGCCCTTGTCACCCCGCGAGGACCGGCACCTGCGCGACGCCGCACGGCACTGCCCCCCCGCCCGCCCGGCGTGAGTGGGAGCTGCGCCAGGGGTCAGCCCTGCCCTATGCCCCCCATATCTATGGGCAGATGGGCCCAGGGCTGTGGCATAGAGGTGCCCCCTGCCCTCCCTCCTGGCTGGGCTGAGAGCAGAAGCCAGCACGGGGGGGTTCACTCTCCTGGTGGGTTGGAAACAGCTGCTGGGAGCGGGGGTAGGGGGTGCAGGGTGCTGGCTTCCCAGGGGAGGGTTGGGGGGTCCCTCCCTGCAGGTCACCCAGTGGTCACCTGCTCCCCTGGGGCAAGGTGGAGATCCAGCCCCCTATGCCCATGTGTGCATGTGCACTGCAGATCCCACTGTGCACACGCATGTTGTGTATGCACCCGCTAGCACCTGCCCCTTGCAAGCCATGTCACCCAGATGCACGCACACAAGCTTTTAGGTCATGCAGATGGTACACGTGCACCGCCCCCAGGCCAGCCCAGCCATGCACGCAGGCTCTCTGACTGCAGCCCACCCCCCTGTGCCGTTCCCTGGGCACACCTGACCCATCTCGGCCTCGGGGCAGAGTGCCTGTGTCTGTCATTCACACCCATCCCTGCCCCTGGAGGGGGGGACTTTCTCAAGGGAGCTGCTCCGTGGACATGCTGCCACGTGGCACCGAGGGAGGGGGCAGGGCCCGATTGTAGCTGGGTGCATTGGTGGACCAGCCCCAGGCACCAGGTTGCTGGAGGGGGGTGGGGGGATGTGTGTAGAAGCCAGACTTGGCCACTGCCCTGGACCCCCCCCCACCCCCCACCCCCAGCTCTTCCTTCCTGGGAATTGCATTTATACTTTTCCTAACTTATTTTTTTGCTAAAAGAATAAAAATCCATTGCTGTGGTATTAACTTAACCCTCTGGGGCCTGGGCTGCCCTGCCTGCTGGGGCCTCTCGCCGGCCATCTGGGTCTGAGTGCTCTGTCTGGGGCCGTGCGGCCAGCTGTGGGCTGGCACAGGGTGGTGGGGATCAGACCCTGGCATCTTGGATCTCATTCCCTCTTCAGCTCCTTCCTGGGGGGGTTGTGTTGCCCCCCAGCCTTTGCCCTCCAGAATCAGATCGTGGCGTTGGGTTTTGCAGCAGGAAGCACCTTTGGCTGCAGGGTCCTCGGTGCAGGGGCAGCCCTCGAGGCAGCACCCTGCCCTTGGGGGCAACGGGCTGGAGCCGTCTGCGCCCCCCTTGCACCCCCACCTTGCTCAGGGCCCCAGAGCACTGTCACCCACTTGGGGGGTGGCACCCAGGGCCTTTGCTGCCTCTGCAAGGGTGGGTGGGGAAAGCCCCTGCCCCAGCCAGCACCGGGACCACAGTCGCTGCAGGACTCTGAGGCCTCCCCACTCGCCGTGCCGATGGCTCCGAGCTGGCCGAGGCTCCCGGCCGGCCGGGGCTGCGGGTGAGGGCGGGGAAGTCGGTGTCCCAGCGAGAGGCAGGGGCACCGAAGGGGAAGCACTGGACTCCGACGCCAGCGCCGGTCCCGCCAGCTGCCTCATCTGGCGCCGGCTCCCCAGAGAGCGGTTACGTCTGTGGGAAAGGCTGCGGGGAGCCCCGACAATGCACCCGGGGGCAGGGCTCGCGCCCAGCCTGCCCCGACCCCCCGGGATGGGACGCTGAAGGAGCAGGCTGCCAAAACCCCTGTGTCAGCGGGAGCCAGCGGCCACCAGCGCTTGTTTTCCACTCCCGCTGCAACCCCCGGGCTGTTGAGGCTTTGCCCCTCTACAGCGGGCAGTCGGGCCTTCCCGGTCTCCGCAGGAGGGAGCCTACCCTGTGCACCTCCTCTGCCAGCGTAGGGAGCCCCAAATGGCTGCCCCGTGCTAGCAAAGATGCGAAGCGCTAGGTATCCCCGGCCTGTAGCTACATGCCTATTAGCTTCTGCTAATCCCGGTGCCAAAACGCAGCTGATTCTGGGGTGGGGGAGCAGGCTGAGAGCAGTGCCCTTGGGAGCAGAGGGTGCTGATGGGCAGCTCTGGCTAGCTGTGGTGCAGTCCCTTTAGGGACGGGAGAGGCCTGGATTGGACGTGACGGCCGCCTTGTTGCCCTTGCTCATGATTGCATCTGAATTCTGCTGAAATCTCCAGCTCCCGGAGTCAGGTGAGAGCTACAGAGGCACTTCCAGTCCGTGGGGTGCAAGGAGCAATCGGATGAAGTGCCGCCTGACGACTCCGTGAGCAAAAGGCAATGAAATAAAGCAGCCAAGCTTCGTTCCTCCTTCCCATCTTGCTGATCGCTCGGCCAGTGGCCGGCTGCCAAAGGGGGTGTGGGACTAGCAAGGTGGCAGGGCCGGGGATGCATAAGCACATGCACCTTGACCTGCGAGCAAATGCAAAACCAGGCACCGATGCATACAGGGAGGAACGCACACGTGTGCACATACCCAGGTACATGCCTCCGCATGCAAGTGAATGCCCCCTCCCTAGCTCCGGCCTGCTGCTCAGCACGAGGGACTCCCGAGTCCTGTTCCCTGATGGGACTCCTCCTGGGCTCAGGCCGGCGGGTCCTGGGGAGCTCCTGCTGCCTCGGGGCCTCTGGTAGGCGCTGCAATGCCTCGGTGCAGCTCGGGCACAGACTGGGGCGCCCCAGCTGGCTGCCTGCGACACGGCTGTGCCGACTTCGGGGCATCTTCTCTGGCTCCGGGATTTCATCTCTCCAGCCACGCATCCATGCAAAGCCGCCCCCCTGCTTCCCCCAGCGTCAGCCTCCGGGGGAGGGAGAAAAGGCCCTTGGCCTGCCTCTCTGGCTGAACGAAGCCAGGCCACTGATAGTGGTTCTAGATCCGTGTCAGCAGCTCAGTACCCCTCACACACACTAGCTGAACCCTGCAGAGCGGGTCAGTGTCATTGTCCTCGCATTGCAGAGGGGGAAACTGAGGCACAGAGAGACTGAGCCGCAGACCGTGCCATGGTGGGAACAGAACCCAGGAGTTCGGGCAACTCTCCTGCGCTGCCCCAGCATCTTCGCTAGGCTCATAAACCCTGGGACTGGGCCAGCAATGAGGGGGGCTGGGGGTTGCAAGAGGGATAAGGGTGGGGGGCAGCACATTGCACCCTCCTCACCCTGGAGCACTCGCACGTGCCCCTTGAAACCTGGGGTGCCCCGGGCGGGCCTGGCCGAGGCGCAGGTGCCCGGCATTGGGCTGATTACAGGAGCAGGCGGCTCTCCCTTTAAATGCACCTGGCTCTGTGGGCCCAGCTGGGCTGTGTTACTAGCCCAGCCGGGCACAGACCTGGCTCCTTGCCCCCGGCACTGCTCTGCAGCTCTCCAGGCAGGGGCTCCTCTTCCTTCCTTCCTTGCAATGACCAGCTGCTTGCATGAGTACCTGCTGCCCCTACAGAGCGGGCTCCCCCCAGCCTGGTGCCTCTCCCCAGGTGCCTAGAGGAGGTGGGTTGCCCAGGCTGGGGTGAGGGATGGCAGGAGGGTTGTTGCTCTGCCTGGGGAGGGGGTGATATCCTTGCTGTGCCCTAGGGCTGCTGTCCTGGGACCCTCCCCTCTCCCACAGGTGTCAGAGGCTGCCCTGGGGGCAGGACAGTAGGGAACAAGACTCCCCTGCTTTGGCCTGGATCAATGGCTGCAGCACTGCGGTTTAGTGCTGGGCACTGCCAGAGGCTGCTGCAGCCCAGCCTCGATATGCCAGTGGGCAGGGGGGGATGGATGTGCATGCACTAGAGCAATGTGTCCCTTCCCAGGCCTGAGCAGCTGCAGTCCTGCTGCCCTCCTGCAGCCAGAGCCAGGGCTTTCCCTTCTCCCCAGGGCACGGGGGCAACCCCTTCCTGGGGGACTGGGCTCTTCCCTGCTCTCAGCAGCTCCAGGTGCTCACTTCCTGGGAGCGCTCCTGGCACGGGGAGCTGCCGGCCTGGGGGGCAGCATCCACACCTGCATGGTACGTGCTGGTGGCATTGGGGCACGTGGAGCTGGGATCCGAGCTAGCCCGGTGATCCTCGATTCCTGTGTGCTCCCTGCAGCCGCCTCCGAGCCATGCTGCTGCGCTCGGGGAAGATCACACCCCGGGTTAAGAGGCCGCAGCGTCGCAGGGGGAGCGGCGCTGACCTGGGGGACGTGGAGCCGCCGACCGCCGAGACCAGCACCCCTCAGCGGGCCAGGAGCCGGGGCCGAGGCCCGCCTGAGGAAGGAGCCAGGGGTGAGTGGGGGCTGAGCACAGGGGTGCTACCCCATCAGCCCATCATGCCCAGGTCGGGGGAGCAGTCGTGCTGCTCCCACGGCCCCACGAGGACTCCCCGTCACCTGATCCTGCCTGTACCCCCTGCAGAGCCCGTGACGCCAGCCAAGGGCCGTGTGGCGCGGGTGCACTTCGACCTGGACCCATCCAGCCCGGACAATGCATCTCCTCCCCCAAGGAGAGTGGATGGTAAGAGCCCAGCTGAGCCCTGGGCTGCACTGCAGGGTCCCATGGGGGGGGTCAGCTCTGGCAGGAAGGGGTGGAGGTCAGCACTGACTGATGCCCAAGGGCCCTGGGCCCTCCACTCATGGGAGCAGGGGCTTGGGAGATGCTGGGGGCAACCTGTGGCCCTTGGGCATCACCCCTGGGACTGTCCCTGTGCCCTGGGAGGTGCCAGACTGGTGCATCGTCCTGCCCCTGCCCCTATCCCTGCAGGCTCTGCGAGCCCCCATGCCCCACCTGCCTCCGAGGGGCTCTACTTCGGGGGCCTGCTGCCACCCCAGCCCGACGACCCCAACGCCGTTGGCCTGTGAGTACAGAGCCCACTCCCAGCAGGGGCAGGGCTGCGCACCCAGCTCGACTCCAACCCTGCCCTCTGCTTCCCCTCCTGCCCAGGTGCTTCCCCAAAGGCCTGCCCTCCGTGTCCAGCCCACGGCCCCCGAGGAAGGAGGTCCCCATCAAGACCCGCAGCATCCCCGAGAGCACGCTGGTCCTGGAGCTGGTGAGTGGGGTGGGAGTAAGGGGCATGCCAGCTCCAGCGCCTGCTCGGGGCACTGCTAGGGGTGTTCACCGCAGGGGCGTCTGAGGCTGCACCTGCTCACAGGAGGGGACACTAGTCTGCTGCTCCCTGATCCCTGACCGCCTGCCGGACGCTGACTGCACCTTCCCCGCCGACTTCCAGGGCGACCGCTACCAGGTTGGTGCCTGGGGAGGGGGGCACCGTGCCCAGGGCTGGTGGGTACCAGCCAGCAAACCCCAGTCCCCTGGGCTAGTGTCACACACGCCCTGTCCGCTGAGGCTGCGGAGCTGCCCGCTGCGAGGGTCCTGGGGGTGGGGGCTGGCTGCTCCGGTGCTTGGTTTCCCCCAGGTTCACATGAAGCTGCGCCCCCACGTGCAGGAGTTCCTGGAGACGCTCTATGAGGTACCTGCCCCCGGGCCCGGCTGCAGGGCTGGGAGATGGGGCTGGGGGCTGGCCAGGGCGAGTACTGCAACGCTTCAACTGTCTGCCGGGGTCTGAGGTCTGGGCCCCTCCATCGTGGGCACCGCACCCCTGATGTTGCAAGGCTGCTCGTTGCTGGGCCTTGGTTTCCCCACCCGAGGCCCAGCCAGAACGTGTCCAGACCCCACTGGGACCTGGGGGTCACCCAGCCCTTCCCCCACCAGCTGTTTCTCCCTTCCCCACCAAGATCTTCGTCTTCACCACGGCCAAGCTGGACTACACAGAGCGCATCTTGGAGGTCCTGGACCCTCAGAAGAAGTTGATCAGGTGAGACCCTGGGTGGGGCAGGGCAGGTGGGAGCCCCCTCCTGCCCCCTCTGCCACATCTGACGGGTCCTGGGTCATCTCCCTTGCAGACACCGGCTGTACCAGGAGGACTGCCTCTGCGTGCGGGGCCACTACCTGAAAGATCTTGCCATGCTGGAGAGGGACCTGGCTAAGACCGTGGCTCTGGACCACTCCCTGCAGGCCTACCCCTACCAGGTAACTGGTGTTGCTGGGTGGTGGTGTAGGCAATGCTGGTCTTGGAGAGGGGGGGACGAGGGTCCTGCTGCACCAGGCACCACGGAGGTGGGTGGCCTAGTTGGAGCAGGAGGTGTCCGTCCTACCCCCCTGCAATGCACCCACTTCTGGGGTGCAACCTGGCTGTGAAGCCGTGCCCTGCAGGGCTGTGCTAAGGAGGGAGGGCACCGAGCAGCAGACTCTCGGGGACCGTTCTAGGGTGGCGGGATGTCGACTCCACCTGGGTCAAGTTTCCCAGGGATCGAGGGGAGCTCCCCAGGGTCACTCATGCTCCGGGCAAAGCTGAGCCCTTGGGGCATTAGCTTGATCCTCAAGCCTGGGATCCTGAGGTCAACCTTCCCCAGCTGGTGTCCCGGAGAGGCAGTGACCCAGCGCCATGTCAGTTGTGCCTGGGCTCTGCACTGGGAAGGGCGGATAGGGCTGGGGATGGGGTCCTGCCAGGCCCCACCACCTGCCCAGCCCAGTACAGCTGGTGCATCCCCCTTCCCCTGCCCAGGGGTGCTCCCCTCGCCAGTGCTCTGCACCCCGCGGTCAGGGCAGTGGCTGGTTCTCACGTGGGTGATGCTTTCTCCCTCTCCCCAGGTCTCCAACAGGGTCCCGATCCCCAGCTGGCACGGGGACCCCCAGGACCAGGAGCTGCTGCGGCTCATCCCTGTGCTGGAGAAGCTGAGCCAGGCCGTAAGGACGGGGGCAGCCCCTGTGCTGGGAGGGGAGGCTGCCAGGCTCTCATGACCTTTCCTGCCTCTGCTTTGGTGCATTGCTGATCTGGAGCAGCCCCTGGGTGCCTGCAGAGTGCACCAACCCCTCTGGTCTCCCTCCCTCCTGTCCCCTGCCTGGCTGGGCCACAGACGGATAACACCCTGCTGCTGCCGCTTGAGCCGAGTTCTTCCCTGGGGGACGTGGCCACCATGGAGGTGGATCCATGCAGGTGGATGTTTGCCCCTGGGAGCGAGTGGCTTGATTTATAACTGTGGGCCTCTCCTCCATAGAGCGACGTCCGGCCCGAGATCCGGAGGAGGTACCGGCTCTGCAGGCTGCTGGCCGAGGACTGAGGCTGACCCCGGACCCCCATAGGAGGTGCATTGGCCAAAGCCTTGCCCTAAAACCTATGATCCGCAGCTGGGCAGGCGCTGGCACTGACCTTGCTCCAGAGGAGCAGGGCCCTGGGGTCCTGCAGCCTCTTCTCCTTTTGGCTTTCTAAATCTTGCAAGCCACGGATCTCTGAAGCAGCCTAGTCTTGGGGTACCCTGCTTTGGGAGACGACACCAAGCTCCTGCCCTCTGCCCCTTCTGTCTTCTCTGGTCCTGGGAACAGCCCCTTCCTTCCAGGCACTTGGGCCTGGTCACTGCATTGGCTGGGGGCTGCAGGGTGATTGATTTACTGCAATAGCAAAGAT